AAAAATCTTTTAAGGATTAGATACAAGCTCCCAAATACTTTTGACCTTTGGAACAGAGTGTGTTGCTAACAGGCCCATGGACATTTTGACTTTTAGCCCAGAAACTGGCTGCATTTTTGGGGGGTCTTTTTACCCTAACTGCTAGCCAGTTTCTACCTCCTAGTCTTATCACGCCGACCTCTGAAAGGGTTACCCCAATTGACAAGAGGGAATAGGAATGCGGACCACTCTGGCTTCTTCCATGCTGAACAGGGATGCAGGGTGAGGCAATTGGAGTACCCCTTCAGTGGGTCTATCTAAAAGACTCCCAAATTGCATAACTCTTGTCTCTAAGGGGAAAAGAAAGTCCTTGAATCATCAATAGGAGATATGAAGGAGAAGTAAAATTAGCATTACAAGTTCTAGACAGGGAACTAGAAAAAAGTCAGAACAGGGCAATTTTCAAATGTTCATATGAGAGTCCATTGGAGTTTCTTGACAAGGGCTTCCAAAAGCATCCCTCTATTGGGTTCTTCCTCATTTTTCTTTTGTCTTCCAAAGCTGAACTAGTTGGCTGGGAAGGGTGGCTGGATACTCAGGTGAGGGTCCAGTGACCCTGTTTGGCGCTCCTTTAATGAATGAGCACATCTGTCAACAAGCCCAATTGTAACTATGTTTAGTTATCAGGTTCAACCAAATTTGTGACGATGGTAGTTATTTTATGCAGAAGGGACTGCTGTATAGCATCATCTTATTAAAAGAACCTAGAATTTAAAAGGATTTGGTGCTAGGAAGTCTGTGTTACTTCACTTAGTATAACAGTTTCTAGATCCATCCATTTACCTGCAAATTTCATTATTTCATCTTTCTTTACTGCTGAATAGAACTCCACTATGTAAATGTACTACATTTTTGTTAACCATTCATCAGTTGAGGGGCACTTATGTTGTTTCCATCTCTTAGCTATTGTGAAAAGAGCAGCAATAAACATGGTTGTACAAGTGTCTCTACAATAGGATGAGTCCTTTGGGTATAGGCCAAGGAATGGTATAACCGGGTCATATGGCAGGTTCATTTTTAGTTTTTCAAGCGTTCTCCACACTGTTTTCCATAGAGGCTTCATGAGTTTGCAATCCCACCAGCAGTGAATGAGCATTCCCCTTTCTCTACGTCCTCACCAGCATTTAGTGTCATTTGTTCTCTTGATCCTAGCCAGTCTGATTGGAGTAAGGTGATACCTTACGGTGGTTTTAATTTGCATTTCCATAATCACTAATGATGTTGAACACTTTTTAAGATGTTTCTTAGCCATCTTTATTTCTTCCTTTGAGAACTCTTTGTTTAGAACTTTAGCCTATCTTTTAATTGGGTCATTTGTTTTCTTGATTCTTTGTTTTTTTGAGTTTTTTTTCTTTTGTCTTT